ATATCAACTGGCTACGAAAATTTTCACTATACCTATTTGTTAAGCGGAGAAATGACTTTCAATATTTTTTCACAAGTTATAGCCTGATTATTTGTTGCAATCTCTGAAAAGCATTTAACTGTGGTTGATCTGAGCAACTGCACTCCATTTTTTAAGTAAATTCTTTCACTTACTAAGCTGTTGTCATTAGGCCCGTTTGATTTCATTCCAAAAATGTATACCTATTCTCGAATAGTTTTATTTGAACTCTACAATTATCGTTTCTACAATTATCTTTTTCACTAATAATTATCTAAACCCCTGCTGATAACGAAATGACCACTTTAATGAGTTCAAGAATGCCTTGTTAAATTGTCTTAAAAGTAATATTTCTTGTTAGGTCATTTGGTATCTACCAACTCTATTAAGACTATTTACAAGAACATTCTCGCCCTAATTCCCGGTCAAATTTTTTCTTTAGCATAGTATTCTTAGATTTGTTGTCAGTATATACTGTGATTTTTTCATTACTATCTCTTTTGGCCAATTCCGCAATGAGACTTTGTTCTGCAATACCGAATTACTTGCGTGTTTACTGTTATGCTACTTAATAAAGTTTACTTTTTTATTAGCTTCAACGGGGATCCCACAATCGATATGATGCTCCTTACCACTTCTGTTGGAGGTCTTGGTTTGAATTTGATCGGCGCCGATACTGTTATTTTTGTTCAGCTTGATTGGAATCCTACTCGCGATCTTCAGGTATTCGGCTGATTATATCTGAAATTGTGATCAATTGTTTAAATATCTCAATTTTACCTTACTTTTCAGTGAATCTCACGTTTTTATTTTATTGGTATTACAGTAAACCAACTAATTTAGCCAGCACAACTCTCCAAGCCTTCCTCTGGTAATCTGTACAATTCAAGGCTTATCGTTGCCTCACTTCGGAAATGAAGTATGAGAGTAGACCTTGTTTCAAGACTAAGGTTATAATTATATTGGATAACCCAAGGGGATACTATGATTCTTA